CTCCCGAAGAAATAGCCGGGAGCGTCGCACTGCTGATAACGCGAGCCAGCTAATTACCATGCAAAGCACAGAGAACTGTAAGAAACAAGGCTGACTAAAGGCTACATCGAATCCTTGAGAAATGGGATGAGATTTCAAAAGAAAGAAAAGCTACATCTGTACAAATTTTATTTCAGAGCATTACTTTATTTTTTCTTCCCTTACCAACAGCTTTCACGTGGAGATGTATAAAGAAACCCCTATGAAAGGAATTGCCTATCTGTGATACTTCTCCCCCCTTTCAAATCTTTGTGTTAAGGAAAGAAAAGGAAATCTTCTGAAGTATCTTCTTCTATTTTAGCCCAAGAGATTTTTATGGTGCGAGCTTTTGGTGCTGTTATCATTTGGACTGTGCTAAGTGTTCTTACAAAGTCTCCAGAAGTTACTGGGTTTTGTCTCTGTTAGCTGTGTTAGGTGTGATTAAGACCTCCAGAAGGCCCAGGTATGCACTCAGACCTGCTGGCCCGTTCCGCTCAGTGGGAGCCAGGCTGGCTGTGTCGACGCTGCAACCAGTGGCATGGCAGCGGCCGCCACGTGGCCACCCTTGGGTGCCACCGCTGCCCCCAGGGCAGCTCTCGCCCCCGTGCTGCACAGGCACTGCACAGCGCTGCTTAACACGGGGCTGCAGGCCTAAAGGGAAGCTTCAGGCAGTAAGTGTTGGCAGGCAATAGCCTAAATCCATGATTTAAGAAAAAAAAATGGGGAAAAAAGCCCACATTGATCAACCTTGATCTGAAAGCGTATTAGAAATGCTTCTTTGCCAGGCAAGGCCACGGAAGTATGGAGGCACAGACACATGCACACACATATGTATGTATAACATTTTCTATATAATCCATTTGCTAGAAAGGAACTTCCAGAACTGTAAAATGAGCAAGTATGGAGAAGATAAGCAGAGGGGATCCAGGAGATGTCAGTAAAAGGAAACAGCTGTGTGCTTAAAAAAAGTAAGATAGTAATTTCCCTTAAGAAAGGTGAGCTCACAGTCACCATTACAGAACTCAAGTAGCCCTGGGGTCTCTGCAGTCATCTCCCTGGTGGGGCTGCATTCACGCACACATGCATCATTCATTGCATCACGCAGACGTGCTTGTCCCAATCCTTATTTTTGTTAGAGTGGTTAGCATTTCTCCCAGGGTAAGGCTGGCAGGTGCTTTCCTTACCTTTTCACTTGTTCACACATGCGGCATCTGCCTGTTGGGTGGTGGAGAACCATTGCCCTCAACAAAGTTTCCCTTCCATCATTTCCCTGAACTGATATTCATATCTTCAAGTTGTGGAGTAAAATGATGAAATTTAATGGGGAGACGTGCCTGAGAGCAGAGAGCTGACTTCTTGGGCTTCTGC